GGGCCACCTACACATGGCTGTTTGGCCATGGGAACCCATTCCATGAAGCTCCTTGTGCACAGTTTTTGTGCTGATGTTATTGCCAGAGGAGGTTTGGAGCCCTGTAAATACTTTTGTTCATATAGCGTAGTTTCCAGGTCTGACCCGTCCAATTTATAAATCAGTATTATTTCCTGTAAGCCTTCATCGGACTCTGGCAAACTCTGGTTTATGAGAATATGACTCTAACTTATTAATACAAAATTAACTGTGGTCCACATGAGTGTAAACATCAGTAATAACATAGTAAATTTAAATTGAGCTTGACAGACTTTTTAAAGGCCAAACCTTTCAGGATGTTTTCATTTAGAAGCCTCTGGAGCTGCTCAGCATCCACTTCTTCATACTGAAACATTAATTGATTTGGTTTACTACCTGATACATTACACAGACTTTAGACACATAATGCTATATAAACTTGTAATATTGCAGTGATGCGGCTAATATTATTAGCAAAAAGATCTTTTTTAATAACCTTGTCAGAGTATTGACGGAAGAATGTTTTCTTGTTTTCTTCATCCTGATGGTTTTTTACTTTTGTGACCTGACGAGTCAACAGTTCACATTAATAACACATGAACAGCAAAATAACACGGACACAATTAAATGATTTGTTACAAACCTTTTCAACTGGCTCATATCTTTGCTCATTTGAATTTGAATTCTCACTGTGGGGAGACCAATATGCATTACTTTCATAGAAATCAATTGTAATGTGTCAAATGCAAATTTTGTTTCAAAACTTTTTTTTATGTCATATCATCAGACATCGACAGTGAGCTTACTAGCAACACGTCTCTTCTCTTGAGTGGATGGTGAGGATGAAGGAGGCTGTCTCGTTGGGTTTGAAGGTGGATGGCACAATCAGGTATTCACCAGGCTTCAGCATAAGGAACTCTATCACCTCACGGGCATTCATGTATTTATCACTCCGAGCAACAGGCAGATGGGTGTTGAAGAACATTGCTGGAAACTTCCCACTTTGCGTTTTGTACTGAAATTATTCAAAGTGATATTTCAGCTCCCCAATTTCATTTGAAGAAGTTTCTGAAGTGCGTACAGACATGTCAACTTGAAGGTTTTATGTATCAGCACATAAATTAGCTGTAAAATGAGATAAATACAATCACAAATGAACACCAACAGTTGGCGTACAACAAACTGAAACACTGTGGCGGGACCTCGAGAGAGTTGAGCATAAACAAATGCAGACAAACCTCAATGAATTGCAGCAACAATGTTCTTTCACGTTATTGCTGCTAAAGCTGGTTCTACAGCTTATTGAACCATGGGGTGTACTTAGTTTTTCCACACACCTCTTATTTGGCTTGGCCTTTGTTACATAAATAATTACACAGTGTGTTACATCATGCATTTTTGTTGATTTAAACAATCTTACAACATAGCAGTGTTTCCTGATACATAAAACCTTAATAGTGAAAGACAGTGTACTTTCTTTTTCACATCACCATACAGTGGCTTGCAACAGTATTCGGCCCCCTTGAACTTTCCCACATTTTGTCACATTACAGCCACAAACATGAATCAATTTTATTAGAATTCCACGTGAAAGACCAACACAAGTGGTGCACACGTGAGAAGTGGAACGAAAATCATACATGATTCCAAACATTTTTTACAAATAAATAACTGCAAAGTGAGGTGTGCGTAATCATTCAGCCCCCTGAGTCAATACTTTGTAAAACCACCTTTTGCTGCAATTACAGCTGCCAGTGTTTTAGGGTCTGTCTCTACCAGCTTTGCACATCTAGAGACTGAAATCTAAGGAGCTTGGAAAGAAAAGCGTCTGGACTCCTTTAAGTTGCTTAAATGGTGGAGAGTCCCAGATTTAAACCCAGTGGGAGTATCCCCCCAATAGAGGGAGCCAAGGGAGCCTTGGCTCATGTGATTAGGTAGAGGATCATCAGGGGGACCTTTTGTCCCTCTTTTGGGGGGATACTCCTACTGGGTTTAAATCTGGGACTCTCCACCATTTGACCTTAGAACTGAAGAAGCTTCTTGGATGAGAGGTGAAACGTCTTTAAGCAACTTAAAGAAGCCAAGACGCTTTTCTTTCAAAGCTCCTTAGATTACGATGATCTGGATGACTGAGAACCTTCA